GGGCAACCCCCAGTGCTTCCGGTTACGTCCAGGGCAGGTTTTCCACTTCCGAACGGAATTTGGGGTTCGAGACCTCACTCATAAACAGTTACTCACAAGCATCATATCATGGACGCTTGATCACCCTCTCAGAGACATGGATTGTAAACCACATATCTTCATGCTTTGGAGGCTTGAAAAATCATCAAAAGCTTACATGACAAAGACCAATCGACATCCAAACGGGCGTGAGCCTACAAACCAACCATCTCCATACCTGGATCCTCCTTTGGGCGGAAAAAGTGCCGGACCTCAATCCGGCAAAATTTTCCGCCAGATTCCGAAAAAAACGCCGGAGACGTGAAAAAAAACATCCGGATCCAAGATTTTAAAAACAGAAATGATAAAAGGCTGGATCATACACAAGGAAACTGCCTTTGCGCCACGAATAGTTTTTATGGAGCACACTCATTCCACAGCCCAGCACTGGAGCCTTCCCGTTCCCATTGCCCTCGCCCATCTTCCGAATGGCCTAAGAGCAGAACCATCACAAAATGTAAGCAACTCGTGCCCAAGCAAAGACTTCCAAGAAGAAACCAAGGAGTAGGTGGCAAGGAACCCCTCTTTCTCTGCAACCGTGTCTCTAAAGCTTTTTGTTACAAAGTTGGTTGCTCTCCATGTTTCTTTAAAGCTTGCCTCAGGACGGCCCCCTCAAGAATGTAGCAGAACTCATGGTTCCTGTCAAAACTCTTGATTGAAACATTTTTCAAAACCTGCAGAAAACTCAGTCCAACAAATTACGCCGGAGTTACGGGAAATTACGCCGGAGTTACCGGAAATTACGCCGGAGTTACGACGCGCCAATTTTTGGCAACTCTCTGCAAAACATTGAGATTCTGGACAACACATGTTCCACAGCCCAAAACTTGTCCGGCAGGCTCTGCAAACCTGCGCAGCTGGAACTAAATCCCAGCGCCCCGACATCCTGAAACACTGGGAGTACGTTTTTGCCTATGTTCTTTCAGCATTAGGTACACCCACTTGGGTCTTTCAACACGTGCATCGCACTGTACCGGCTTCATCCGGTTTCATTTAGAAGATCACCTAAACGGATCTGATTGATCCAGTGTGAACCATGCTGAAGCCGGTGGAATGAGAAAACAGCGGAACAGGCAAGCGAGCACACTTTGCAACCAAATTTCTTTGCATCAGTAGTGGGTTTACCTTCAAATAAATGCAAACCACAAAGAATGCAAAGCCTTGAGAATCCACATAAAGTGACTTGGAAAAAGTGCCGGACCAAATCCAGAAAAACGCCGGAGTTGGAAATCCGGCGCCGGACCCTGTAAAAGTGCCGGACTGAAGATCTAGGTATATCTCCATCATAGAGGGGTCTCTTCTTGGAAACATATTATGGTATAGACGGTATAGATTGGTAGAAGAAAACACTAATTGAGTAATTATACATGACTCTTGGGGTATACGGTACATTGTATACATACATCATATACCCAAAGGGTCCAGGTACCTCCTGAGGATGGTCTTGGAGGTGAGTTTGTACTTCCAGAGAATGGTTGTTGCCGGGGGCTCTGGCAGGACATCCGAGAAACGGATGGGGTCCTGGAACCTTATAAGGGATCATTGTATATACATGTAATACAAGTTGCGACTTGTGAACACATCCCCCTTCCCCCTTCTGTTCCGAAAGAAAGGTCCAGAAACGCCGGGCCGCCCGGGCCGCCCGGTCAACCCACTCTCCACCTCGTTGTCCTCGCGCCATGAGTCGGACCCGGGTCCGGTCCAAGATGGTCAGTCTAACATGAGGTTTCTTGGTTTTTGTGTGTTTTTTTCAATTGTTTTATCAACCTATGGACCCTAGACACTGGAAATGCGACGTGTCTGCAGGGAGAACTCGTTTCTCTGAGGTCCTGAGGAAAGAGAGGTGCCCACATCGAGTCGGGTTCTGGGTGTGAGACTCAGACCGGTTTTCACCTGAACACGAAAAGATCATCTGATCTGTGTTGATGTCAGAACTGGACGCACGCCGTGCGCTCATGTCGACAGCTCTATATTCTGCTCTGGCCAACGAAGGAGACGAAGGAGCCAACGGAATGACGGAACACGTCGAACGGGGCGAAGCTTCCTCAGTTGACATTCGCAACTGCCAAAAGAACTCTCCCTATATAGGGATCCAGTCGTGCCTTCTCAGAAGGTGTTTGGAGACACTGTTATGTAGGTTTGGAGGTTCCAAGTACCTTCTGAGAAGGTGTGACTGGATCCCTAGGGAAAAGAACTCTGCTTTTGCCTTTTTTTGCCCTGACTCGTTGGGCCTCCGGTTTTGGAGGGTTCGTACCAAAGGATCTCAATCTAGTTTGATTTGCGCTGTCCCTGATTTTTTGGGGGTCGCGAGTCGCTATGATGATTGGGGGCCCTGCTTCTTGATTCAGAATCACTGCCAGGCACCATCCAACTGGCTCAGCCTCCAAACCGGACGCCCATGTCCACATGTCTCGCGTCGTCCGCGGGCTGAACTGGACGCACGCGTCGTCCGCCCAAAGAAAAAAAGTCTCGAAGAATGTGTTTTCCCCTGACCCTAGAGGGCTCCAAGTACCTTCTTAGAAGGTGGGACTGAGGAGGGTTTAGAGGGTCCAGTCATACCTACTTGGAGGTTGAGGGCTGCAGATCCAGATCATACCATTCTCAGGTGATTGGAGACTGCCAGGAGGGTCCCAGTAGAAAACAAGGATGCGCAAACGGTGTAAATATACAGTGTATATATATATATCTATACATCATATTACACCTGAATCCAACTTGCTTCCAGAAGACCAGGCAAAGCCAAAGAATCCAACATTTAATGAATATCTCAGATTTCACCCAATCCCCACCTGCCCTTTTCCGCACCTTTTCCACGAATGCAAAGGCAGCTCCTTTGGTGTTCTCAAAACGCGAAGCAGAACGACCCAACAAGTAATTGTTTTAACTTCCTGAAGCAATCTTCCCTGTTCTCTTGCAGAAGGAAAAACACATGGCGTATTGAATTGGACTATGGAGCCCGCACGCCCGACTTGTTGGCTTGACCAGCCTTGACTGGTTTCGGGCCATCGCGGGACTCACCTTGGCCATCGTCGACTCTGTACGATCTGCATCCAGAATTGACCTTTGGGACCTCGAAGCTACAAAACAACGCTCAACGCGTTGGATTCATGAGGACGTCGTACAGATTACATGGTCTGAGCTGCTCCACTGAAGTAAGTCCATGCCTGTGTCAATGCAGTGTCGCAGGCGGTTCTCATGCGGCTTTCACGGTTCACCACAAACATTTCTCAAGGGCATCGCTCGCTCATCACGTTGTTCTCACGCAAGACCATGCAAGACCTGACCTCATCTCACGTCTCCTGCGGATGGAGGGCGCTCCAAGCAGGAAGAACTATAGAGCTCGGTACCGAGCTTCGAGCATGTCCCACTTTCTATAGGGTGCTAACGAAGTGTGGTCCAAGTATATTCAAAGCCACGAAGGTCTGGGAACAACTCGGTCCGTCTGGATGTATCCCTTTGGGGTGATTCCGTCAATCGATTCAGGCGCTACATGACCAGAAAGCCCCAGTGACCAATGACTGTACAGCGTGCCTCACGGACCAAGCCCGTCGCCCGTCACAGGGCAGTTCAAGTTAGTTGATTTGACCATGATTTTCACTTAAGGTCATGATTCAAGAAGGTCGTTGGCGGAGACAAGAGAGCACAAACCTGCAAGTCTATTCAGCTGTAGCTTGCTTTGCTATCTGTTCTTGTAATTAAGAGGTCTAAGCACGACTTTAGGGTGATCTGCCGTGCATTCTAGAGTCTCTAGAGTCCTAATATGTCCTACAACTACATCTTGGAACTCATTCTTTCCAACATAGACCTACCAAAAAGCTTTCACCAATTTGAGGGTGAACTCCTCCTTGCGGCTGACTCTCCAAGGCTCCAAGGAGCTGTCGCTGTCTTCCGCGGGAAATCGCGTCACCGGGCCGAACGAGCGAACGAACGGCTGCGACTGCGCCGAACGAAGCAGCCACACCCTGCAGACGGTTCCACTCAGAAGGCCACTGAAATCCGGAACTGTTGGTAGACGACCGAGTCGACTTGCACAGACCGTAGACTTGCTCTCAGATGGACCAAACTGCGACTTCTCTGGTAGTGAGATCCTACATGTTGGTGCGGAGGCGACGATGTCCAGGGCAGCATGCCAAACATCGTTTGAGCACAAACTGTGGCTGACTTTCCCGCCCAAACTTTCGTACCATCAAGCACCGCCGAATTCTGCAGTTCAAAGCTGGAGAGGCTGCCCCATCAACTTCGGCGAAGTTCTGCGTACCAGGAGTCAAGGGGGTGGCGTGAAACGTCCCCGTATATGTGAATGGATGTGACAGGGGCACCCGAACTACCTCCATGGATCGCACCCGTAACCTCCATGAGCTGCTGGTGTGCGACTTCTGTCTCCACGACGGCCCCTGTGACGGCCCCTCTTGATGGGCTGAAGCCGTTGCGCCGGCCGTCGACCGACACCCGAACCGGTCACTGAGTAAAACACGGCCGCGACGTGGCGGGGAAGCCGCGACGCTCCGCTTGGAAGGCGAGGAAGGGACATGAAGCCTTTGCAGAGGATGCTGCTTCGCTGCTTCGCTCTGGTGTGAGCTGCTTGAGTGTGCCTTTGCAGAGTCAAGAGCATTCTGCTCTTCACTTCAATTCCTTTCTCATCTTGCTGAGTCTGAAAAGGACGTCGGGGTGCTCTGAACTGGAAACCCTGCAAGAGCATGAAACGAAGCGCCTGACATGAAGGGAGGCCCGGCCGCTTGCCCTCACTGACTGGCGTGATGAGAAGAGTGGATTAAGGTCATGACATGTGAAGTTTCTATAAGACTGGCTAAGTATGGATCGCAACCAAGGTGTCTGCAACAAGATTGAATTCATAATGATATTCATTCTTATTATTTCATTCCTTAAGTTACGTAGACCCTAAGCTGAGAATGTGAGCAGTCTTAGAGTCTTGGACGCTGGCTACATCGAATCTCCGGCTGAATTTCAGCAAGACTTAGTCTAACAGGTCGTCTTCGACATTCAGCTGCGCTTGTGCGAACAAACTGAATCAAATGTCGACGTTCTTTTATCTGGAAACGGTCCAAGATCGTCCATGCAGATCTTTCAACATAGGGCAAACGAGCCACCGGTCCAAGGCTCCAAGCCAGAGGTGCAATTTGCAAGTTCGTCGACGTTCTCCATGGCTTGAGGCCAGCGGCCAAAAGAGACTCGACACGCGCAGCCGCTTCTGGACATGCAAATGCCTCCCTCGATTGCAGCCTCTGGGGCGTCTTCCTTCTGCCCGACGCAGGCATAAATCGACGAAAACCTCCAAACCTCTCAAGCAATGGGCTTCTCCACCGAGTTTCACCAACGAAGCCGGACGCAGCAAGAACTTGGCCGACAGGAAAGCACCGCGGATTTCACTCCAGCAAGCTTTTAGCCCTGTAATTCGCCGATGTGTTGCTTTTTGGGGCTCTCAACCCCTCAACCAGTGGAGATACCGATGGAGATCGTTTCTTTCTAGCAAAACCTGGGACCTCTCGGGCTATTGGGACCTCCCACCGGTCTTCACCTGCGCATCCCACCCGCAGTCAGTGCGCACGGCTGAACCAGCTGCAGACCGGAGATACTGTCCAAGCCGGCGTGGTGCTGTGATTGAGCGAGATGTTCTATATCCCAAACCCATAGGGTCCAGGTACCTCCTGAGGATCTCCTGCAAGGCCCCCCGTTCGACCATTTTTTGGAAGTACGAGCTCACCTCCGTTCAACCATCCTAAGGAGGTGCCCGGACCCGTTGGGAAATACTCCAAGTATGGTATATACATTGACCCCTGCTACTCAAAAAGACGCTATACTGGATACTCCATGATACTCCGACTCAGCCAGAAACTGCACTTCTTTCAGCTTGGACGTCTGGCTGCTTGGACTCCCAGTCACCATCTGTTCCGAACGCTGTGGACGTAGCGTCAGCGACAGAACAAACGGGGGAGGGTTAACCGGTATGCGTGCGAAATTGAACCGTTTACACATCGTTTTTTAAATTTTATGGCCCAGTTTGCAAGCGGTCGCATGAAACAGCTCCAGGAGCTGTTTCAAAGGAAGCGCAGGGTTTGCTGATGGAAGCTTCGAAATACGCTTGATCCAAAAGCACCAAGCTTGAGCAATCCGGAAATGCTTCCAAGACTATCTCCATGTGCGAAGGAAACACATCCTCGCCATCTCTGGCAAAAATAGTGCCTCCGATTTTGCGTCTACCAGATCTTGGATGCAAATAGTTCATACTCATGTTCAAATCAGAATTCAGGAATAACACCAGTCTGCGCTGTTGTTCCTCCCGTCAACAACATCTCCTGTCCTGTCATCATCTCTCGTCGCAAAAAGAATTCAACCAGCCGTCACAAAGGGGTGCCCAATGGAGGATAGGGGTGCCCATAATTATCCACTCGGGACTAAAAGAACACCCCGACATGTGACTTCTGGAATGAAATTTATGTGGCTAGTAGGGCAAAACCTGGAGCCTGATTCACGCTGGTAGGTTGACCTCCACGTCGACTATTCTGTAGTCAACCAGTGTGTCCCGGCGCCATAAGAAACAGCATCCCAGGCTGTGCTGTAGTCAAACAGCATCCCAGGCTGTGCTGTAGCCTGTCTCAGCACCCACTATAAGGGTGAAACCCTGGACTCACTATGATGTTTGCTGCGATACGCGCGGGCGAATATGTGCGCTCTGACATGATGGTTCTTCAACAGTGCCAACAGCATCTTAGAGTCACGGTTCCGGCATCTTTCACAAAGCTAGCACGTTGACGATCTCACTAGCTGAGGGATTTTTGTTCGGAAAAAGAACAGAAACCACAACGTGATCCGTGATTGAAACCATGCGGCGTCTATCTTCCCTTTCCAAAAAAAAGCCTCATGCATCAAACGATAAGCCAATGCACTAGATCAAGTGCCACGGACCTTGCCACTAGCGCAGGATATGGCACAAAGGAGAGACATCTTCTGAAACAAGTAGCGCTGGGATTGCTTAAGGAGAAAAGGGGTGGAAGGACACCAAAAAGACTATCCCACAGGTACCCAGGTGACGGGTCCTATAGCTAGGTCACGTATATCATCTCTCTTGAGAGAAAAAAGACTTGAACAAAGAAAAGCTGTGGAATGGACAGCTTTCCAGGTCAGTAAATGTGAGGGAAGCTGTTCAGTTCGCTCCATCACGTCCGTGCCGACATGGAATTCTGCCGTTTTGAGACATATAGAAGGCGCTGATGCTTAAATAGTAATAGTAGACATGAACCAAAGTCATCATGCTCAGCTCTGTCCCCAGAACTGGCATTGAAGCAACTCGACAGACATGATCGAAACATCTCTTCTATAAATGTCCATGGGCGGCCTTGTCAAAGGATCGACACTTAGCATTCCCAAGCTTGGGAACTGCGCTTACATGCATGTTTTTTCAACATTGAGAACCCTATATGCCCTAGCACTTCTGGCATAGCTAGCACTTTGGCGATCTCGCTGGCTTCGGAATTTGTTGTTAGGAAAAATGACCACAACGTGATTGAAACCATGTGGTGTCTATCTTCCCTTTCAAAAGAACAAGCCTCATGCAGCAAACGATGAGCACATGCACTAGATCAAGCGCCAAGGACCTTGCCACTAGCACAGGATGATAGGGCACAAAGGAGAGACATCTTCTGAAACAAGTAGCGCTGGGATTGCCTAAAGAGAAAAGGGGTGGAAGGACACCAAAAGGTCATGGCTCCTATTTAAGGTCACGTATATCCGCCGACCCCGGCTGAAGGAGGGGGAGCGCGCGAGGGATTACAGGTGCGGGAGCCTTGCGCTTCTTCGTCTCAGCACGAACCTGCAGGCAACAGACGCTTCCACTGCTCGATGCTGCTCGAACACATGCATCACTGGAGCCGCAACCT